GGGCATCTGAAGAAGTGAGGTTCTTACCCACGAAAGCTTATGCTCCCAGTACTTCTGTTAGTCTCAAAGGTGCCACAGGACCCTCTGGAAGCAGTGTGTTTTAAGGAAGACTATGAAGAGGATAGAGGTACAGCATGCCAAATCCAAGAGGGGATCCTGGTATAGGGGGACATGTGAAAGAAAGCAGTTGAGAACAGAACACAGACATAAATGCTGCAGTTATTCCTAAATTTTGAGCAGAGCAAAGAGGGCAATGGGTAAGTGAAAAAAATGTCAAAAGCAGAGAAGTAGGGAGGAACTAAATTGTGCAGGGAATAAATTGGCAACTACAGAAGTTACACTGAAGTTAGATAACCCAGAACTGGAGGACAGATACGACTATATTTAACAGAGTACTCCTTACACATCAACAGCTTGATTCTGCCACCATTACCTACACTGAGGGTACGTCTTCACTTACCGGAGGGTCCGGCGGAAGGCAATCAATGTTCTGGGATCGATTTATTGCGTCTGGTTAAGACGCGATAAATTGATCCCGGATCGATCCCGGAAGTGCTCGCCGTCGACGCCGGTACTCCAGCTCACCAAGAGGAGTACGCGGCATCGACGGGGGAGCCTTCCTGCCGCGTCTGGACCCGCGGTAAGTTCGGACTAAGGTACTTCAAATTCAGCTACGTTATTAACGTAGCTGAATTTGCGTACCTTAGTCCGAAGTGGGGGCTTAGTGGGGACCAGGCCTAAGCAGTACCTTATTAACTACCTGATCATGAAACGCATTACTCACAAATGTAAGGCATGGGACCAGTCTAGTGTATGTAAAGTTAAGCTTGTGAATATATATATATTTTTTTGCAGGACTGGGGCCTCAGTGAGTAGTGTGATTGAATTTGATAGGTATAATCAGCCTTAGCACAAGGCAAAAAATCAGACCCAAATTGAATACTGGGAGATAAATATGGATTGTAAAGAAAATGTAACTGAAAAATTTTAAATGGCAGCTAGTTGCACAATCTACCAAGGAGAAAAAGGTTAAGAAATGCATGCACGTAACAACTACTGTGCAAAATCTACAAAACAAATCATATTCTTATTCCTATAAAGCTCTCTAGTAAACAGGAGCTCAACAGGCGCATTCCACTTTTCTGTCACCTTCAGTGAACTGCTTCTTTTCCAGACTTCTTGTTTCAGAAGAAACTTATGGAATAAGAAGTTTGCCTTTCAGAACAGAAAATTTAAATAGAAGCATCCAGCTCCAATTACTGGATGGGGGACAATCACATTCTCCTTTTGACACCCTTCTAAGCAACTCAAAAAGAGTAATAGATTTCAAGTTGGGAAATTAGTGAGTAAAATGTATTATCTCATACATATAAATGAGATGACTATTCTCAGCCTTTGGAAAAGAACTAACTTAGTATCTATTTAGTATTGGATACATTCAATATTGCAACAAGGGCAGTGGAAGGACTGTGATACAGTAGGTCTTTTTCTTTTCTAACTTTGTGGGTACATATGAACCACATGCTCAACTCAACATACAGGAGTTTAGCCACCTAACTCTCTAGCGTTAACAAATAGCATGCTTGACTAGATACAAATTATCTGCCCCAAAAGAGTCCTTTTCTACAGAAATATGCATTATTTCATGCCTTTACAAGAATAAATCTATCACGGACATAAGATTCTACTGATGTTTAACAACAATATGGCACGTACAAAAGAACCAAAAAGAAAGGAAAGCGTGAAACACTGAGAAACCTCCCTCTTCCTTAACAAAACATATGGAATATACTGACATCTCTTTTATGAGAGATGACCTGAAATGCACATAGTTAAGATAGGACATTACCAGTGACACCTTCAAAAGAAGTGAAACAAACATCATCTAAGGTAAACTGAAATTATATCATCTGAGTTACACACCTAGAAAGAAGAGAGAAGATAATTTACCTTTTTATGGAGGGCATGAAATTCACTATACCTCTTTTCGACAAAATGTTTTCTTCCACTCATCAGCACTTCTATCTTAAAGACCTGTAAAAATATCAATTAAAAAAAGATTAATTTCACCCTCTCAAAACATTCAGTCATCTAGCACATTAATTTTGTGACCATGATGTATTTCATTCCTTTAATTACAGTAGCTGATCCCCCAAAATCCAGAAGACTCAGGAGACACTGGAGTACAACATTGATTAATGAGGACTCTGACTAAATGCTTCGCTAATAAGTTTGTTCAGCAAACACATTTAAAGGCAATTAAGTTTTGGGGCTTTTCTTAATCTTTAGCTTTTAATATACACTAATAATCCTTGACAGAAATTATTTCACATGACTGAAGGGAGAAGAAAACAAAGTGGCAGTGACAACATATACAGAGCAAATACAAGGATTCTGTTTCTCTCTCTCATACAATGCTGCATGGTAACAGCCACACATATGTACAATATGTTCCTCATGACAGAAGTCGTATGTCTTCTACAACAGAAGAGAAATAAATGTAATCAGTACATTATAGGTTAATTTCTTCCTAACCTGCATATTCATCTCTAGTCTCAGCTGGGCTTGTTCTACTGTTTACACCATGGGAAAAAATGTGATAAAGACTCATTTTCTTTGCATGATACATATGACAGCTTTTGCTGCTGCCTGTGGAAGGTTGAAAGGCCAGACAAAGAAGCTCTCTCGATCCACTAATTAGTAGCCACTAACATGACATTTTCTTGATTCTCAGGTCACTGGATCAAGTTCTGAGGGCAAGTGATGAGAAATATTTTGAAATGCTTGTGAAAACATGGTCTGTTAAAGGAAGACAAGATCAGTAGAAAAGCAATGTAAAGAACGGTGTCTGCTGTTTCCAACAGTTCTTACACATGTTCTGTTTTGTTTAGGAAATACTGGAAGTAATTATCCCCAGGATGGAGAGAGGCTATACTAAACAACAGTATATTACATAAGGACCCAGATTTTGGCCCACTCTACTGTCCTTTAAAATGAGTTTGGAAACAGTGTTCACACTCAGATCCAGATAAAATGATTTCTATCAGAGTTTGGCCAGCTAGGATGGATCAGACGAAGCTAGTCAGGAGGGAGTTGGAACCTGTTTTTCAGTGTACGGTGGGTACTCTGCTAGAACGTGTTTTTTAAACATGATTCAAATATGCAATGATTCTTACTGGTTGGCCAAACATGTTAAAAGACAATTTAGTTAGAATCCTACTGAAGCCAAGTTAAACATGGGCTTTAATTTGGTTTGAGCCATAATATGGATAAATCCATAGTGAAGACAATATTTAGCAGGGCAACTTCACTATATACTGATGTTCATTATAACCAGAATTAGTTTGTACATTATAATCCATTGAAACAATTTGGGATTTCATTCTACTTCACTATAACAGGAGTTTTACTATATCCAAGTCACTTTGAAGAGCTTAACCCATTTTTTGGCTACCAGAAACTCTGTCCCCAGAAATGATTTGCTCCTGGCAAAGCTTCAAGACATCAGCAGGCATATTTTGCAAATTCACAGCTGTAAATGAAATGATATGTATGGAGAAAGGTTTTAAAAGATCAATTTAAAGTTAGCTGCTAATTTAACACATTTTAATTTCTAAGCTATAAACACTGTACCTTTTAAAATGAAAAGTAGCAGGGTGGGAAATCCTGTCTATATAATGTGCACATAAGTCAGTTTCAATTAATTGCACCACTTCACCAAAGTAGCATTTCTTTCAGAGAGCATTCCAGAAATACAAGAGACAAAATACTTTTGAATATGAAGAAAATGAATCATCTTTAGATAGGAAGAACTCTGAAGAATTAAGTGGCTGAGAAAATTGGATACTGGAATATGAACCTGATCAGTTCGGTAGTGATCAAAAGTCATTACCTTTTAAGTCTCCATTCAGTTAGGAGTGACTCATGTCTATGTCACACACATGCAAAAAAATTGTCTCAATTGGCATGCTGGTTAGCAGCCTCAACATATAAACTAAGGAAGGAATGAACATGAAGACTAAACAACATTCCAGGTGAGGGCTGAGACATATTGGTGGGGAAGTTTAAGCTGCTGCTCCCTGGGTAGTACAAGTCCCCAGGGCTGTCCATCAGACAACTTTCATGAGAATTACAAATTCATGTAAGTCAAGTTATGCCCTCAGTCACACACATGAAACTTCAGTGAAGTAAATCTGTTTCCCTTTGAAGTCAGTAGGGTTGAATGGTTCTTACAGGAGGTCAAATTTTGACCCAAGGTGGGGGGAAAAAGGAAATGAAAAGCTCTGGGCGGACTGTTTTTTCAGTGCATATATCTGTTTTATCCCCAACTGATCTATGTTTCAGAACTAGTTTATGAACTATGTAAATAGTTCCAGGGCCTCAGAATCGGTATTTCATTTTTAAGCTCATATTTTCTCACCAGGGAAGAAACAGGAACGTTTTAATAACTATGCATATAATTATTGGGAACAAGGAGGCTGCATCCATCAGTTGCAGAATAGAGTAGCTGGTAGCTTTCATAGAGGCTATAAGAGATTTGCCTCAACGGTATCTGTGCATGATGATGCTGTCATTTCTGCTACAATGAAATCTGCTGCCTTCACATCATCTGTTACTTACACCAATATGCAGGTTTAAATGTTAATAATGGGAACATATACAGTGGATGTTACAGCTCAAGTGCACTGATTTCATTAATGCAGTAGCCTAAAAGTCTAAAAGACACACAGTGCATCTTCTCATGTATTAAAATGAAATAAATTCAGAAATTACTTTTCTCCCTTCCCCATAACTGGCATTTCTGAGCCTACTCATTGTAGCACCTATGTTGCAAAAATGTAAAGTAATTTGTGATTCTGTTAGTGTTATAGCAGTCAAATGTAGGAGTATATAAAAGTTTTCATCCTGCTTCCATAAATGTTTTAACAATCCCCAAAGGTCTACAAGTTAAATATTTTGCTTAAACGTAAAATAAAGTTTGAGCAAAGCACCCCATAAAGCAGGAATTAAGCTGAAAAAACAGAAAAAACGTATTGTACTTATGAGTATTGATTGTTAATTTTCTTCACTGAGGTTGCAGAAGTTCCAATCTTATCTCATCATCATTTACTAGATCACTACTCACAATCTTAGCACAGAGATGAGTTTTGTGTCACTATTTTCAACAAGGGTGTAGCGATGTATATGTGTGAGAGAGAGAAATCTGTGTATAAAGGAAGGGTGGAATCTCCTAACAGACACAAAATTCCTAGCGAAGTCTGACAATAATTTAACTGAGCAATTACAGGCACTGACAGAAAAACAATGTGAGGAAACTCATGCACCAAGATGAAAGTGCCAAAATAAAGAAGGAAGAATTACGGACAAAATTGTAACAGTGCAAGGAAATTACTTTTCTATGTAAGAATGTTCACATTCTGTTGAACAGATAACTCTGAACAGACATATCACTTTTTTATATGTGAGATATAGCTAAATGCCCTGAGAATGAAAAATGTAATAATTAATCATGGAGTCAGACAACTAATGCTGCTCTTACAACAGACAGAAGTTATACTTACAGTGAATGATCCACATTTAGTCTTGGCTAGGGCAAGAAGTACAGTAGGTTTACAGTGATGTTACTGTGTCCTTTATTAAATGCACCAGGTAGAAGGCTACCCACCCATAAATGCTGCCACAAAATAAAATGTATCCTTTCTCTCTAGTACCACAACAAAAGCCTGCTCAACCATTATCAAAGCTGTTTGCACAAAGTTTAATGCAGGAGTGATTGTCCAACACAATTTAATCTGTGCAAAACAAAGAGTGGGATGAACAGCTCTGAATCTGAAGTCAGAGTACGAGATGCATATCTTTCTGCAACTGAAATTGTCATCTCTGCCAAAAAAGATGACAGTCCAACTCATCATCAAAATTTTGGGGTGGAAGAGCTGGAATCTATTAAATTAAATGCTGTTTTAAGAACTCATTGTAGGACATCCTAACAAAGTTGGACACATCTACATAACTACCTCTCTTTAAAATTAATTTAAAAAATGCAATAATAATACAAGTTACAAATTAGTAAGACACCAACCGTTTCCCTTTTATAGTTTTTATAGAATAGTGGCCCAATTCTTGGTTCCCCATTGGCCCCATTACACTCCGCTGGTGCAGCATAAAGTGGCCATAAATGGGGTTTCTCAGACAACACAGAGCTGTCAGAATGGGTCTCCACTGGCTCTCAGCTCACTGCATTGCCAAAATTCTCAGTTATCACAAAGGGAGCATTGCAGCCGTATTGCAAGCTAAAATAGCCCTAAGGTTGCTCTAGCTTACACCAAGGAGCACTGAGTACAGGAATGGAAAATCAGATTCAAGGTGATGCAAATCCCTTTCTCCCTTCAACCTTTCCCCCAATACCAGTGAAAGTAAACTGTGTGTTTACCACTCTCCTCTTATTGGTGATACAAAGGTGACTATTTCCAATACCACCAACTCCTTCTATATACTGCTCCCATCTAAATCAATGGGACTGGAACAAGGATCAGAGGTCTGTACTTTAAGTTGTCCAAGATGAAAAAAATCCAACTCAGCCTTTTACATAAAATTGTTTACAAAAGTTGAGACAAATACATTTGTACAAACTGGGTTGTATAGGTTAAAAGAACCATGATAAGACATATTCCAGGCTCCCGGTAACAAGTAATGGGTTGATATGACAATGAGATAAACATTTCTCCAGAAATGGGAGAAAATGTTTAAAGTTGACATAATCAAAATGTATTTTAATTGGTTCATGTTAATGCTAAACGGTTGTCATCATTTTTGGACATTGTTTATCTGAGTTTCACTGAAAGAGAGTGGTAGGGGTGACAGCTGGACTGGAAGGAGAAAACTCCACCTTTCCATCTCTTCTTGGACCCTGGGATCTACCTTGACACCTTTGGGCCTTTATCTTCTTGATCCTGAAAGGCATCCTGACCAGACTGGGCTAGAGAGAGGGAACTGATGACATCGTCAAATATTTGCAATATGAAACTTAGGTTCCT